CGCCGCGTCCTTCATGTGCTTCGGCACCAACTTATTGATCACATGTTTGGCCAAATGCTGGCCATGGAGTTGAGTGTTGAGGCTGTGCTCCAGGAGTGGCAGCTCGTAGTCGATCCACGACTGTTTTCGCAAGTGTCCCGACGAGTCCCTCACGAGTCGCTTGTCTTCGCCCAATGGATGGCAACACTCAGCGGTCGAGCACTTCAGGTAATCCCACGTCGAGTATATGGCGCCCAACCCGATGGCCCCCAACACCACCACCGACGAGGTGATCGGTTCCAGACCCAAGACTAACCTCCAGTTCATTGCTATCAATATTAGCACCAATTTCTTGACTGAAGACATTTTGGTCTCGCCTTTCAATTCCTTATCATTTGACTCACGATTCAAATGATTTCAAAATCCTCTCAAAACTTATCTCTCTTTTGAAAACATTTCATAATTTTGGCATCAATGACTAACAATGACAAAATGACTAACAATGCGATTACAGGAACGTAACAGAATATTCTGTGACCAACTGTCATCATGCACATTTCACTAACCATTCAGCATATTATTATTTAACCACATTCTCGTATCTTATTAGAGTCATTATATCTTTTACAATAGACCTTGGTCACCAAGAATAATTAAAATTCCATTAAAATACTGTTATTACTACATGAGTACTATATCACTAGATTACTAGGTTACTATATCATTACCATGAGTATTACAGTACTTCATAAAAATGATTATTTTTGAGAAAGTATAAGTTTTAGTCAAGAATAATCAAAAATATCAATCATTTATGCAATCAAGTGATTCCAATGAATAACAATGAATGAGTAAATTTTCCAATTTAATAGAATTATACGATAATTATAAATGAAATTGTTGTGACTTATGAATAAATTTTAAAATTAATTCAACATATAAAAAGCTTGCAATAAAAACAATATTCAATTGAATTATAGTGCGGTATAATAAATACTATACAGCACTGTATCACATGAGGACATCCACTTTATTACCGACTCGTTTGCAACCGGTTTTTGAATACAGTTTAGTGTCGGGCGGGAAGTACTCCAACTCATCGGAAACCTGTGGTTAAAATACATTAAAATTGTGATTAAATTGTGGTTAAAATTCATTCATATAATAGTGAATGGATTCCAAAAAGAGTTACTTTTCTAATGAACTCTTCTCCGGGATCTACAAATGGTGTGCTTTTGTTGTAATGAAGTCTAAGGTAATCATAAATACATAGTTTTATGTGCTTTTTCTCCAACGGAAGGAATGGTACGAAAGCGTCGATCAGATTCTTCTCGACGATATCACTCTTATAAAGGCCTCCGTTTTCATTGAAAGCCCCGGAATTGATGAGTGGTTCCAAGTCTTTCATTGAGAGGTCTGTGCGCTCTCTGCCAGATAAGTGGTATTCGTAGGTCGCCTTCGTGATGGCGGTGCCGCCAGTGTTGCTGTTCATAGCAATCAAACAATCAGTAAATGGTTACAAGCGATCAAAGTGTGGATCAAATGAAACCTTAAGAATATAAAAATAGATTTTCTGTAATCGACAGAATCGACGACAGGATTGTAATCAATGAATGGTTTGATGGCATCGATCACTCCGGGAAGCAATTTATCCATTTCATCGAATATGATGAGAGAGCGGTCGCACGTCTTGACGGCATTCGTCACGTTATCTCTGATCCATTGCGCCATCAGATGCTTATCATTGGTATTAAATTTGGTGCAAATCATGTGTCGCACGAAATCACTTTTGCCGGTCTCGTCATACCTCCGGAACAGGTTTTTGGCCAAAATGTCGGACACGAAGTTCTTTCCCCCGCCGGTCCAGCCGTGGAAAGACAGCACTAATGCCTTCTTCGGCGTCGCGTTCTTCATGTGCTTCGGCACCAACTTATTGATCACATGTTTGGCCAAATGCTGGC